AGACTACCGCTTTTACTGATCAACAGCTGTGGATAAAGACGACGCCTTGATACGAGCCAAGTTCTCCTTACGCCTGGCAAACAACCGCAAAAAAGCCACCGACAACAAATACCCACAATAGATCTGATTGTGGAAACAGCCCTATCCTCGTCCGAGGATAGCGGTATCGATTTGTCACACGTGACACGACAGGACAACAGTAACGCTTAGACTGATCAATCAACGGTCACCCGCCAGACTGCTCGCGTCCACCTCATCCCCTATCGGCACACGGCGAACAAACCTTGGCCAATCAGGCAACGCCACATCACTCAATGACCTATATAAGGAAGGGGACACTTGTAAGCGCTCACCTAGTTACTGCATTGAGAATGTCGCCTCGATTAGTGATGAAACATTTGCAATACATTTGCCAAGCTCGGCGAACAACTGAACATCAAATATATATATAATTGCAATCTATTAACCAACACCACACACCGCATCAAAGATAACTTCCACAAAACACCCCATCCATCAGTCCATCGAATCTACAGGAGACATTCTGTTGGTTGCAGTCGACTGGCACGAGCACAAGTGACCCGCAGGCGAGTATACATCATAATGATCACAATCCTTGTTGATAACAGTGTAGATATGAGATGGACGGTGATAAAGTTATCACAGGAACCATCATTGAACGAATGGGCAACACACCCAGACATAAAAATCAGTGGAAGTCCGGAAAACACAATCCGCTGGGCAAAAGCTGAGGATGCGAAACTCCACGAGTCACTATAATCTCGCGAAAGTATACGGTCAGCGAAGAATGTCCCGTTACGATACTGATCTGAAACTTCGGTGAGGATCGAAATGGGAGTCGCGGCGAGTAAAGTGCAATTTATACTATCATAAAACATGTACTTTCCTGCGCCGGTGATAGTTACTGTCGTTTGGCCACCGATTTGGATAAAACAACAGAATAAAAATTGGAATGTTGACAGAAAATTCAACGAAAGATACAGAATTCATACAGACTGCGGTTGCAAGAATATTGAGTAGATGCACGAGCACCACCGTTTGCGGGAAGCTAAACTCGATCATCGTTGCATAGCAAAATTGCTGCGATGAGTGAGGTGCAACGCACACAAAAAGTTCGTTAAGACGCGTAGCGTAGCCAAATAAAAAACGCTCTGATTAGCAGCCCACCGTTTCAGAGGTACCATAGATGCGTTCAAACCGAGGTTCAGGGTGCGATCCTCAATTGGGTAAATAAATTTACACTGCTGATGAGACTCAACCAGGTCGAAAAAAATGTTCAGTGGAAGCTTGCTTATCATTTAAGGCTTCTATAAACGACGAAATGCGCTATATAATTAGCAAAAGGATCAAGTTCAGAGCAGTGAAGTTCTGTGGTCATTCAGTTTTCCCATTACTATAATTCCTTCAATCAGAACTCGGTTTTCCAACTGGGTCTGCTGAGGAACAGTGACCAGGGGAAATGAATAGTGATAAGATAAGATTTCAAAGAATGCTAACCAAAGACCAAGGAATTTGATTACTATTCAATTACTCATTATAGAATTTAATGGGATTCAGCGAAATCCTTGGTTGAGAGGCTGCTATTTTCCTGTGTTTCAAGTGTGACGCCAGCGCTAAATTCGACACGCATGTCACGGTGATTAGTTTATCGGATATAGAGCACAAAACGGTAATGTAATGCTTGTAAGCATGGGCCCTTTCGCCTTTAATCTAGTCCAAATGGTCACATCTATGAGTGAATCGGCTTTTCTCGTTCTATCCTACCGTGTTAGTGGAAGAGGTGAACACTATCACAGAAAAAGTAAGGCTAGTAGATGGGAGAGAAATATGTATACACCCAGAATAAATCTGGGTGGAAGGTCGAATGTAAAAATCACAAACGCGTTGTATCTTACGTGCATGATTCTGCACGTCTGTCGGGTGACAGCAAGTGCATTCTTTCAAGCTCACGCCGATGCTGAAGACGACGCCAAGCTCCTTGTAAGATTCGTGCTGCGTGATCACGCACAAGAGCAATCAATTGTTCCCGTTCTTTTGATACAAGAATCAAACGACTGGCCAGATAAGCCAATGTGGCCAAAACCAAGCCAGGTGGAAGAATGCAGGGCATAACACGGGGGTTAGTCGACGAGAGCAGAACAGGCACATCACCAAGAAACGACAACTAGGAAACAGGAAGAATAAATTGCGGTGTTAGCATTCAACTCAGCATGGATTGAATTGTCATGTAAGGGAAACTACACACCTGCAATTGCATTTTTCAGTCAATATTTAAGACAGTGAATCGATAATTTAAAAAATTTACAAGATACTATGACAGCCAAAAAGCTGATTACAATAGTCGCCATTCTTTTACTGATGCGTAAACCTCGGAAAAACGCAACCTGGTCAAATAATTTGGACTCACCTTGCGCTGGAACAGTAGTAAATTGTACTGATTATTTCGAACTAGCTGTCCAATGGGAATAGTTGTGTCCGAAACAGATGATGTGGTGAATTGTCTCACCAAGCCTGCGGGCATAACTGTCGGCAAGTAGTGATGTACCAGAAAACATAGGGCTCGACCATCAGCAAAAGATTCATCCAGATTATCGACCTGTTGGATGAAAGAGAGGGGATATCAAATACGAGACAACAATTATACAAAAAAGAGCATACTATAATTTCTGCATCACAAGTAGATACTTACTCTTAGCCCATAGATGTGGCCGACCAAGGCAACCCAGTGTAACAATTTCACATGCATCGAAACAATGTCATCATCCTGTTCTATTTCACAGATTCTTTCTGCTATTGTACTTGCATCACCGGCCCCAACTTTTGCCTGTAACAGGGAGATTTCTTCATCTAGCAACGTAACATTGACAAGAGCCAGAACTTGATAGCGCAGTAATAAACACCACAACAGGGTGAGACACTTTTCTCTGTGGCCGTCAACAATGTCTCGTGGGTCAATTTTTCCACCTAAATTGGAGGGTTTGGAACATAAAGTAAAACAGCAAAAATGGGAATCAAAACAAGTGGCACACAGTCTGAAGGATATAAAGTGCCACTGCAGGAAAAAAAATCAAGGAACATGAAAATGCGTCGCATTTCTGTATTTATTACAAAGTTCCCGGTAATGAGCAACTGCCGAAAGGAATCCACCAGCGAGTTTGCGAATCACAACTGTTGAGCCTAGAGTTTTGAGAAGCGAACTACCTATGATATGATGTTCAGGAGCTGACCTGATTCGAGCCAAGAGTTAAGTGAACAAAATATTTTCTTCCTCCTAATCCGTATTTAAGATAACCGAAAACTGGAATAGTAGTAAAAGCTTGATTGAATAATGAATTAAGTATGCAAGCTACATAGGTAAAACGAGCATACAGAATAAAACAGACGGAGAGGGAGTATACAGCTATTCAATATCTCCAGCGGAGTTGAATGTTAGCAACATATGTACTTCACAGAGGGAGAAATAAATTGAAAACATAGATCGATAGAGGAGATCAAGTGCTATACAGATTCAAACAACCGTAACACATGTCAAGCATGTCAACACTATAGATGTGACTGATAGAATGCTTCAGGGGATAAGTCATGAGCCCAAATTGGCAACTGGATATGGGATAAGCCACTTACCATCTGGCATACGAATATTGCCAGACTCCTCAAAAGCTTTGAGTGCCAGGTCTACATTGTGAATTTTCTGCAGTCGGCTTATGGCAGGAAAACGAACCAGGGACATAAGGCTTGATGGAGCATTCTGCGTATTGACAAGACGACTGTTCAACGCGCCTTGATGAGGTAGTGTCGGGATCAACAGTTCAGCAAGTTTTCTATTTTAAACAAATTGTGAAAATGGATGTAAGGAAAGCATTCCAAAGGGGTACATAAATAAAAATGTGTACTATACGAATACGCCATAATTGTAGATAAACGAAAAGCATAAACCATCGCACAGATCTCACAACTTCCACATCAGGTTCAAGGATGCAGAAAAGGGAGGAATAAAAACAACAAGAACAAACGGTTTTGGAAGCCAATTGAACATCAGAGCGCCTCAGACAACCGGGTTAGATAATCAAAATGTGTCATCTGTACGAAATTGTCAATGAGAAACGGACGCAATCTTCACAAAAAGCGGTACTAACTCTTAAACTTAAAACCACAAATCATTCAATGGTCGTAAATAAATAGTTCATTTAAACTGTTGTTCTTTTTGTATCTCTGCGGCATACAGATCTATGTACCAGGTTGGACGTCTGACCTCGTCCAAAGGGGACATGATCTGATAACGGTAACTAACCAAAAGATCCGCTCGTGAATTTTCAAGAAAAATCAACTGCTTGGGCCTAAGCGACTTAGCAGTATATACTCACAAGAAAATAATGGAACATTTTCTTTGTTTTAAACGTTATTGTACTGTGATTTGTTCGGCGCACAGTCTGTACTCGGACTATGAAATGATGCGTTCCTTTGCATTTATGAAATTGGCTTATCGTGCAATCATTTGTAGAAACATTGTGTGCTTCTAAATTTCAGTGGCAGTAGTGTTGTGAGATACTAATAACATTTGTGAACAGTACGCAAAACGAAGCGGTTGGCGATTTCTTTCAACACTGAAAAATGAACAAGACGGGTTGGAGCGGATTGCTGTGTTCAGTATGGTAACCATAAGAATGCGTATCTACTGATAGACCGTTCCATTAACTAGTCTGTGTGCGTGTGGAAGTTCAGAAGACTCGTTCCAAATGAGACATTTCTTGTACGTATGCCAATTTACCAATACCCTCGCCGTTATTCATAATAAATAAATATCCTCGTCCCGGCACCGTCTTGAGGATATGTAACAGTAGTGGTAGATGTAGTATCAATGACAATGAAGTGTTTCTTCTACTTAGGTTGTGTGACCAATGACGGCTGCATGATAAAGGAAGTAACTTCCACGAAACGAAAAGGAGGTTTATACTGTGCTACTGTCTTGTCAGTTTTGCTTTACAGTTACGAGGCCTTCAATTTGCGGACCCTCGCCTAGAAGTGATCGACTGTTGATGTTTACGCAGTTTTAAGAGCGTGTAGCCAACAAAGTTAAACCGCCGAGGAGTGATGTGATTCAGTGGAGAGTTCGTTATGATATCGAATCAGATTGCAAGGATTTCTTGGCCAGGTACCGTGTAGGACACGTCCAGTTGTCGTCTACCATACAGCGCTTTATTTCCAGTTGCTGATACAGGTTTCAGGAAGTCGTATGGAGGTCAAGGGATGATTTGGAAACGAGTCATGCAGAAATGCGCAGGCTGGGGTTTAGAAGACTGTATCTGACCGGTTGGAGACACTGAAGGACACGGTCACGAACCGACATGCGTGGCGTTTTTTGTTGTCACTTCGTATCAGATCAGAGTATTTGAAGAAGTGCGTATGCTCAGTTAGACTGTGTACTCTGTGTTGATCAATGATATCCCCTTTGTCTTCCTCGAAACAGGTACAATCCTTGAACATTTTATACATTACATCTTATGTTACTTTGGAAGTATTTTTCGTTTGGTAATGATCGGTGAAATTAGCTTCAGTCTTTTGCTGTACTAAGCTGTTAATGACTTTACTGAGCGGGTCACAAGGGTTACGACAAGGGCCAAGGATAATCCTCAGAACCTTGCAGATTAAGTTGAAACCTAGACCGAGCGTCATGAACAGTCGAATTTCAATAGTGGCATATCGGAAAAAAAGCGACATTGAATCGCGCACAAAACGCATGACATGAATCTTTCTGATGTCGCCACCCCAGCCAAACGATCGCAAGTTGAGGATAATCATGACATGGTAAACTGAAAAAGACCAGTCAGTTTCGATGGTCACAGAATCGAGTTAGACTCGACTTAGAGCTGAGTAACTAAGTGAGAGATTCCGTCAATGACTGCATGGGGGTACACGTGAAATGAAGGGAAAATAGGCAAAGTGATTTTAGATCAGGGAAGGGTTAAAAGCAAAAAATGGATCAGTTATGGTGACGCTGAAGAATGATTACACACTCACCACCGTTCAACTGAACAGCGAATTTAATTTCTGTGGGATTAGAAGGCCCTAGTACTGATCCAGCGCATAATTAACACAGGCACACACTCAAATAAGGTCAGTCTTGTATTCGTCTCAATAGAAAGCGCTGCAGAAAACTGTCTGTAAATGGTCGAGGGTACGCTGCAGCAGTTCGGCCAGTTCCGGTATACGGTACAGAAACTTGGCCATTAAGAAAAGAAGACAAAGATAGACTGTCGGTGTTTGAACATCGCTGTCTACGCAGCATTGCACGAGTCTGGTGGGGCAGCCGGATGAACAATGCTGAGGTGAAGCGCAGAGTTTTGGGTAAATACGGTCGTCCACTGGAGCAACTGGTCGACCTCCATAGACTACGCTGGTTGGAGCATGTGTTACGCATGTCACCAAATAGGTTACCACGGCGAGCGATGTTTGCCGAGGCAGGTAGTGGGTGGAATAGAGCCCAAGGTGGTCAAGTTAAAACCTGGCATGAGGGTATGAAAACCTTAACCAGGAGTCTGGGTCTGGCCGATAGCAAAAATGTCAAACTAAGTCTTATAGTAAAGAGTGTCCTACTGAACGAAACCGATAGTGTGAGAAGTATGAGGTCAGCAGAAAAACAATTTCCGGTCTTATCCGTAAGAAACGTGAAATTATGGAGACAGGAACAACTTAACACCAACGTTTACCTGGCAACAATATAATCTCATTGATAGATTATGGGGTGTGACGTTGTTTAATGCTGTTTAAAATATCTATTTCTAGTCCAAATACAGGTGGAAAGTAAAGCTAACCTCGACTGAACAGCAAATTTGTTTCAAAGATTTCAACGGATGACTGCACCGCTTCAAACAGTCAACCATTGGTGTGGTGTACAGTGTTGCCCTTGTCTCTTGCACTAAAATGTCTGTATGATCATCAGCAGGCGGAGATCGCTTTTAGGCTCCAACAACCAACAGAAAGAAATACACATCATTTAGTGCGTTGCTTTTTACGTGTGTCTTCAACGGATATATTTTCACACACGTCTGAGTTCAAACTGCGTCAAACAAATCAAGGTATAATATTCTTTATAAAAAGGAAGATAGTTTATCATTTGGTCTTCAACGGAGTTGATGCAAAGAACGCGGGGACGTCAGTCTCATTTCCGTGTTTGAATACCCCCGGTAATAAGCACTCAGAATTGAAGCTTTCTCTGCTTGCATTTACAGGTTAACTTATTAGACTGTATCTTTGTGCTTCACAAGGACTCGAAAGCGTTCAGCCACCGGGCATCACAATCTCACGAGAAATTTCGCTAACCAGATTATAGGTGCGTGCATCCGCATGTGCGAATGTACACTGACGGCACCATTGAACTGTTGCGATTTCGGTCTTCCACACTAAGGCAACTGCACCCCTTATCTCCGTACCGATTTACTTAACTGGGTCCACTGGGCTGTCCGCAGAAAAGCTTGTGGTGTGTGCACATACGCACACAGGCGTGTGTGGATTGAAGGGAGATTATATTCGAATGTGCTTGTGCATCGAAGTTCGGTCAAAGTTGCCCACCAGTTTATAGTATTTTTAATTTTTTTCCACTGTCGTAGAGAAATTTAGATCCAGATGTACTTAACTTACGCCAGTTCATTTGTAATCAGGTCTTGCAGTTAGTGCACGCATGCACACAGAGTAATGCACGCACCTACAAAATGGGTGAGGCCACATAGTGCGGGACCATGTGGTCATTGCCGAATGTGATGATCCCGCACCAGACACAAGTTGCCCGATAGTTCGCGTAACTGGAAAGGTACACATGCGGGAAGCAAAGAAGCTAGTGTGGTTGAGTGAAGCATGAAGTCAGTCTTCGAAACAGAGTGAATAGATCTAGGTTGATTGAAATGTGGAAATGAGCTTAACCCGGAAGGGAGATTATGGACCAACCCATAGGATCACGGAGCTAGTCGGACTAATATCGCCTTGTAATCTTGAAACAAATTTACTGACGTACTCAATCAACCAGAAACCGAACGACAATTACTAGATGATGTCCTCAAAACTTTGGTCACAGAAAAATACCAGTAATTATGAAGCCAAAGGATGGACAAGAACCATGGGTTTGGGAATGGTGGTGTCCAGAGTGAAAATCGCATTGGTTTGTTTCCTTGGTGGAGTACGACAGAGAACAATCGAAACGCCAGACTTACACGAGGCGGATTCCGTCACGCAGATCGACGGCCAGATTCGTCACAGCCAATTGGTACTCGTCCAGTGGAGATTGAACAACTTCCACACGAGCACCCAAATAAGCCAAATGTCGGACCAAATTGTTCTCACCAGTTAGAAAATGTCGAGAGAACTGCAGCAGAATCTCCGAAGAAGACTGCACGGGGGGTTAACATGAAGAGGATGGGTGAGAGAATCACACAAATGTATTGATCGAAAGAATCAAACTGTGTGCAGAGTAACAATGTGAAAACTCCAAAGAGCAAGGTTGTAGCCGACAGAAAACTGTTCTGGGCCAAAGTTGTGCTGAAAGCACGGTATACGCGCAATGAGATTCAATAAGTTTCGATAACAGAGGCAGGAATTAGATTCGTGATAACTACGGTGAATTCACGGAAATACAGCAATGTTGCCGGATAAGAATAGACAGGAGAAATCGTATGGGCTGTGTTTAGAGGCTTCGTCTTCAGCGAGTTTTTTTCGCGGATCACGTTTCTTCAAACCAGCCGGTAGGAACGGTTATACTTGTGGATCAAAGCCCAATTACTGTGATCCTTACCCTTCGTTGCTTTTTGGAGGTTTAGTGCTTTCGATCTGTTCATATCCGAACATTTTATCCAACGCGTCCTAAGTGACCTAAGCGGCACATGACAGGTTATTATAACTTGGCGATCAGCGGGGCTGCACGTGACTGAGTTCGCCTCCAAGTAGACGACAAGAACGGCCAGATAGATCACCACTCATGGCTCGGTGGGCATTGTTTCGCTCAATTAACATAAGTTCGCTATCACCGAGGATAATTTAGTGCGAGGCCTTTCCACCTGATCAGTGATTTCCGTGCAACAAAAAACCAAATATGATCCCCAGCTTAATAAGGTCAATGACCTGTAGGTATTACGTGGCTATGGAAGGAGTGGGAAAGAATCCCGGAATAAAACGTTAATTCTTATTGTACTTGCAAGTACTAAAGAACATTTGGAATTTACGGATCTGGCTTATTGCGGAAGGGAGCCAATTGGAAATGAGCAGTAATTGGTTACATCTGAGGTTAACAAAATGGACAAGGAAACATATCACACGAATGGAACAAAAGAGGTATATACCTTGAAACGGGCCTTGGCACGAAACAAGCACGGATCGAACTTCAAGAGGCGACTGATTTTGAGTCTGTCCAAAAACCACACGAGTATGAGGAATCGCTTGATCGCGTACCGATTGTGTATTAGGTCACGGGTAAGTTTAGCTGTTTCATGTGACAAAGAGAATTGCAAATTAATGATATATCACAGCAATAGAAATGCATACTCGTATTGCATTTTCTATAATCGTCGGAGACATATATCCCAGTGAAAATCTAGGGGCAATACTGCGAGACGAAACAGCAGCCTGCCGGCAACCGAAACCTCACGATCACATTGCATAAATTAGTTACCGCCGTACCGTTGGAGACCAGCGTGAACATTGTACGGGGATAAAGACAGCACGAAGTCCTACAAGTCAAGTCAAGTCAAATTAAGTTAAGCTTTATTCGCCCAACAGAATGAATTTTCAGTACTGACATCGGTACGAGTCTCTGGTTTTCTCTTATCATCATTATCATCATTATGTACGAAACCCAATATGCAGTTTCTGGTAACTGGCAACTTTTATCATGTCAGCAGTGTTGAGGCTCTCGAGACACTGTAGGGCAAGCTGAAACCTCACTAAACGATAATGCTCACGGATAGCACAGGAGATGTGCTTTACTGTTACTTTTTTCGTACAAAATTGGGAACCAGCACAAGGAGGGAACTTTTACATTACAGTCTCTAAAAGACAGCATGTAGTCGGCTTTTTTATTTATATGTGGAAAGAAACAGAACTTTTATTCTTTCTCATCACCAGGCAGTTGTTTGGTTATCTCTTTTCCATCGTTACTATTTTGGTTTCCCTCTTCCGAATTCGCTTCAGCGGTTCTCCTTCCATTGACGTTTTCTCGTCCATCTCGTTCTTAGGCGGGCAGTCACCCTTATCAGGTTTTCGTCCCTTGATGTCGGACTTCTATCTTCCAATCTTCTTTTTCCTCGAGGAATGCGAAGTTGTAGAACACTCTTCCCATTTCGGTGTTCCCAAGCACCTATTAACTTACCCTTTTCAAAAGCAGGATTAAAAAATTGATTCTCACTTGAATATTCCCCCACATCCGTCCCCCTTACAGTACATCATTGATCATGGGGTTTGCCCCTTTTGCAGTAAATCACTTCATGCGTAATAAAAAAAATTGAACCTCTCAACATATCAACAGTAAACTTCGGCAACTTTCTTTCCATATCCGTAAACTTCGTCAGCTTCGTACTCAACAATCGATTATCTCAGAGTTCGTGTACCAGTATGCTTTCCCCATTTTACTTCATTTTTCATACAATCTCCTAAAGAAAGAAATAACTGCTTCAACATGGACTGACCATCATTAGCCGCGTCTCGTTAATCTCGCTGGAGGAGTTGGTAAATAATCTGTGCGAATGTCATCTGAATGCATGTGAAAAGTTTATACGTAAGATTCTGATCAACCTCACATATCCGCTACATCCAAATTTAACTTCCAATTGTTCCCATCCGTCAACTAGATCCCAATATCAGTGTTCCCTCACGAATAAACACATCGTAACTCCGCGGTACCGTCATTGGCACATATTCTAGTTAAAAAGGAACAGGTTTTCTCAGACTTGCTTAAAAGCTTCGGGATGCAACCTTTCTTTCCCTTTCTCCAATTCGTACACTTTTAACTGAAATGTGGACTTTATGCCTACAGAGGCTATAATTACAATGACAATCAATGTGAAGAAACGTCACCTTCCCACTTGCCAGAGGAGAAGGGCTACATTCGCAGAAATTTCTTGTTTTCTATATTGGAACTCAAACTTCCCCCAATACGTTCTTTACAATATTATGGTGTTACCATTTGCCAAGATATCACGTGAACTTCATCATTCCACCGCACTTAAAAAAAGATTTGAGAATTGTTTTTTAGTTCCCGCTTATGATCTTTAAAACTTGCACTGCATTTACCCGTTTTGCATATATATTCTTGTCTCCACTCTCTTCCTTTACTGCTCCCCAGTTTTGGAAACTAAGCAATTTTAAGTTAGTCTGTTAAATACGCTTCACTCACAAGTGATATTTCGTGTAAACACTTGTCTAGGGATCATTGAGCAACCGCCAATACGACTTCCGGTCTCGTCGTGCTATCGCTGTCCGACTGGCTGTTGTTTCATAATCCTGGTAGGATGTACTCTATCACCACGGAAAAACATATATGATCTCGATTGACACATCAAAAGCCGAGTTTGACCTAGTGACAATGCCTTTGTTCGGAATCCCTTTAGTCTCATGAATATTACGATTCCTCAGTAGACGAAAAATCTCCCGTTGAGTCGATGCGGATTTCTCTAGGTCGGTCACTGTGAATGTCGGCATTCCTTATGATCCAGTATGTTCGTTCACCCTCATACCTGCATACATATATACTACATATCAATGGGTGAAACTTCTTTGCCGCATATGAAAGTAGGAAGATGCTAAAGTACGCTCAATTACTCACCCGGTTGTTTCTGGGGCCTATTCGTTGCACTTGCCACTTTCCTAGGTTGGTTCGTTTTGTCAAGAACAGATGCCGTAGCTTTTGTTTTGCTTGTGGTTGTAAACATGTAGGAATGTAGTTTCTTCGAGAGAGGAATCGTCGGTGTTAAAGATTGACTAGATAGCGTGACACAAGGACCAGTTGCTTCAGCATTCCCATCCAAATGAGCCTGTGACGGGTCCATCGTAGAGGATAGTGCATCAGTTGCCAGATGAAGCCATATAGGAGCGTAGTTGGTTGTCAGTTGGTCTAACAACCGTCTTTGTGCACCTGAAAAGGGCGAGCGAACGTAAACATAGAGATCGTTTGAGTGTATCATTTTAATGTTTTAGTTTCATGTGGAAAAGAGTAAAAAGTAGAGGAAGGAAGTTATGGAGTTGCAAAAGGTAAACCATGGTAATGGGCACGAAAAACTTACAAAAACAGCTATTTGGTTAGAACTAGAACGGCTTAATATTACGCACAGCGCGTTGATATTCGAAATGCGAATCCGGACTGAACGCGTGGTGGCCGAGTGTAGCAAACAGTGGAGCCCATGCATCTGCGGACTATTCTGACACCCTTATTCTATACACATTATCTCTTTTAACCTTAACTCTGCTCTAAACATTCCAATGTTCCTTCCGCTTTTTCATCCGAATGGGTAGCCAAAAGATAGCAAACAAAACGGCCTCGTGAAGGTGATGGCTAATGGTTGTAAAAACTGAAAATTGCAGTCCCGGTTTCATTGGGCAGCTACCATTCTATCCGTGCTTTCTAGTAATTGTGGACATGTAGTGCCACTGGACTCAACATCCAGTCTGCTTCCATTAGTTACCTCAGTGTGTAAGATATGGTAAAAATATCAGGCATCAGTCCGTCAGAGTTAACACCAAGCTATGGAGTAAACACGTTGGGTTATCCTTTATTTACTGCCCGTCTTAACAAACAAGGTGCGCAGGAGCCTAAAAGGAGATAAAATTCAACGCTCTAATTGAAGCATGCTGTGAGAGTGAACCATGTCGGCTGGGATTCGCCCTCGGCATTCAACACTCCGAATTATATTAGCGCTGATGAACCGATTGACCGATCAGATGTACATAATGCAATGTAAAAAAATTATTAAACAGCACGGCTTCTGTCTATTTTTACGAACGAGCACCTCTCTAAATCGAGCACTGAGAAAGGCCAAACTACAGCAGCAGGTACTCATAACATGACAACAACGGTTTGAGACTTGCTCGAGGTTGAATGGACCACATTTTCACTCTTCGCCAACTAATAGAACAAAAACATTCTGTCGTAGACCCACCATATCAGTCTTTTTTGATCTGAAAGCTACTTTCGGCTCAGTTGACCGCTCTAGACTATGGTGCCACCTTTCCGAGAAGGGTGTACCCGAGAAGTTCATTTCAACATTACAATCGCTTTATACTAACAGCCGAAGCCAAGTCCGAGCTTACGACACTTGTTCGCCTGAGTTCACTATGGAAAGTGGTGTTAGTCAGGGTTACTGTCTCTCTCCCTGTTTCTATTCAACTTTGTGATAGATTTAATTCTTGAAACAGCCCTATCCTCATGCGATGATAGTGGTACCGATTTCCTCGTGGGTGGTAGACTGTCTGATCTTGAGTATGAAGACGACATTGTGCTACTAAATGAAGATAAAGGTAAGTTGCAAACTTCTCTAGATAGTTTTAGTGCTACCGGAGCCAGTTTCTTCATGCGTTTCGCACCTTTGAAGTATAAAATACTGCAACAGCATTGTGGTATTCTAGCTCCAAACCTCACTCTAACTGGGGAAGTAATGAAGCAAGTGTGATTCATCATTGCAGGGATGCACGCAACCGAATGAGCACCAATCAATTACAGATGTAGAGACAAAGGAAAAACTACTAACCTTTATCCACTGAAAACGATAGATCACCAACTAATACTATTTTGCCTTCGTCAACTTCGCGTTCAACGCGCTGACCCGGTCCAATAATCGCGGTTGAACGCAACAATCCAACGGCCTTGGCCACAGCCACTAGATAGGTTGCAGAGCCTGGAGTACACACGTGTGCTGAATTGCAGCTTGCCGCAGGCAAGGGATAAGCCGCTGCGTTGGCTGCGATGCAGGGGGCGAACACGCTGTTCAACCACTGAGTGAGTCCATGCTCACTGATTTCGCACAGCGTGTGCGGAAATTCTGAATGGAACAAATTGCTTTCATAAGTCAAAGCTGAAATTTTCTGTTTGGGCGATTCCATAGCCAACAGTACTGGATCTAGGGATGAAAGGAACATTATAGCACGGCAATACAACGGTTAGATGATTGAATATAGACGTGGTAAGATATAAGAATTGATATGAATGGTGGTAAAATGGTATATGACGGTGTTAATAGTGAGCAATCTTCAGGAAATTAGGATGGAATATCAGTATACAAGCATATTCAGCGGCTGAGGACGAATACATGACTCAAGGTAATACTTTGTTGGCCACAAATGTATATCTATCAATTTTGTTTTCTGTCGTCTGAATTGTGTCTAATCAGCTATATTAACTTCGCTGTTCATGCCCGATTTATGTACGGTTCATCGACATCGACATTGCATCAATCCTCAAGAAACCTTCTTATGGGAGTCCGGAGATTAGACCAGTTGAACCCCACCATGGATGTGATTTTTTCGTCTTTCTTTAATTTTTTGGGTTGTAGGGCATGCTGCAGATCGGGCGCTATGTGAACAGCTGTGCTGGGTTGATAAGATGAGCCAAACCAAGTGTCGTGGTTCTTGCTCTTCGATATGCACGGAATTATATCAACATTCCATTGCCACTTTTCTTACGATGGCACTGCACAGGTTGCTTGGTAGTGTTCGGATTACGTTAGCAATTATTGTGCTGAGTCAATTAATGTGTACTTTGTTTGAATGAATGCTCGTAGCTTCCCGCGCTGCGCATTGCGATCGAGCGTAACCTGTGAAATGCAACAATGGAGAAACGAGGCTTTTCCCAATCAAAGCAAGTCATTGAACTCTAAATATGGGGTATGCCGATAGAGNTATATATATATATATATATATATATATATATATATATATATATATATATATATATATATATGTAGTACTGGCCGATTGTGATGCACTAAAATAATTTCTTTCTGATCAAAGTGAGTTTCATTATATTTATCACCTAGATTAATAGTTTAGACTTTGATAATAATTTATATCTTGTCTACTTCGATCTACGTAGTTCCTAGTCTGCATGGGTGTCAATGAGACGTGCCTGACCTTGGCTGCCAAGATTAAATTATCTCAACATGAAAATCGCAAACTTTACAGAGTATAAAAATGCAATGTTTTCCAATAGGAATGACTCCAGAATTATCCCCTATATTTCCATAAAAACCTTGCCATCTCTGTTATTTGTTATGAGGCATTTTTTATCCGATATATAATGCATTCTAGCAACTCTATTGAATAACCAAATGAAATTCTTTTCCAACGGGAAGATCTTCCCAGCAATTCATACTCCCTTCTGCAAAGAAGAATAAAAAATATTGAGATGCGTCAGGTTTCAGCTGACGTCGAGCCAGCATTGAACGCGCACCAAAGGCAGGCTCGTATTGAATTTGCCCGAAAATTCAAATCTCGACGTGCGTCGTTTTGGCGATCGGTTTTTTTCACTGACGAGTCTTTGAAGGCTCACAAAAAAGTCATTTGTAGTGAGAATTTCCCAAAAGGACTGATTCCACCAAACGAGAGTTTCTCCCCCGTCGAGAATACCAATCTGGGCAGGGATGAAACAGGGCCAGTCTTGTCGGTGGACATCAGACAAAGGCACCATGAATAGTGGGAAATTTGTATCGGTAATAACAAAAATGTTTCCAGAATTTCATGAAAAAAAAATCGTCTGGTGGTGGCGCAGTGGTTTAGTCGCTGTCACCGGCGTGCTTTGCACCGAGGTTCGAGCCCCGCCACCGCCACCCGACTTTCGTGGTAGGCAGCTCTGCTGTCGTCCGGTTCAATACCACGCCTAACCTATCGGGGCCTTATGTGGTTCGCCACTCCAAGTTCCGGGGCTTAGGTTGCCGATTTCAACCACTGAATAGCAGGTCCTCGTGACTATGGGGTTTCCCCCGTCTGCTGTTCATCACACCTAGGTGTGTAATAAAAAAAGTGATCGTCTTTCAGGATAACGCTCCGTATCATATTTCACGAGATGTTGGTAAATTTATTTAGTTAAGGAGTCTGGTTCACTTATTATTTGCTTTTAGACTTCAGAAAAGATGCGTGACTCTATGGTCCAGTTCACGCAACTTCTCCCTAATAGCCCGGATCTCAATGTGATTGAAAATCTGTTTTCTGTTTTGAAGCGAGAGGTCAATGTACCACCCGTACATTTGACATTGGAGGCAAAACTGCGCTACGTAATGGAGCACTAAATAGAAAATGACTCCATAACAAAGTTGGTGGATTCGATGCCGAAGAAACTGGACAAAGTCCTGAAGAACAAAGGCAGGTCAATCGACTAATAATGTACACAAACTCTACATCTTAATTATTATCAATGTTAATTTTTTGTAAATAAAAATTGTTTTATTCTCTTTAGTTAGCTTTTAACTCATTATTGTCTAGGCCAAACACTACTGACGAAATGGGAGTATCCGCTACATTGTGAACCATTCCACCTGCCGAGCATAAACGAATCACGAAAATCACGGTTATAAAGACTCACCAAGGCTTGTTTATCATTATTTGGAAAAAGTATTTACTTTATTATAAGCGCTGTTTCCTATACGAACCGACAAGTGTCACCCCAGACTGTGCCACAGGAATCTTAATAGAGAATCGTGATTTGCTCTTGAAAGCAATACTGCCAGGTTGCCCAGAAAAACGATGATTTTTTCCAGAGGAATTCCAAACCTTCTGATGGTGGGAATAAATTCAGTTCATTTGCGTCCTGTCTGAATCAACATTAAGACAATCGAACAAAAAGTGTGAGAGTGCGCTGCAATAATTACCTCCTTTCAATGCGCGGGAGCGGATAAGTTGGGGAGATAGGAAGCCGATCGCCGAGGCATTGATCAAAGTTAAATCTGTGCTGGCTGAAGTAGGAGGTACCTCGGAACGAGAGAATGATGTGTTAAGTTTGCCCACTGAACTGGTCTGACGTAAAGTAGTCCGTGATGATTGAGATAAATGAGAGACACTGAGAAGAGTGCACTTCGGTGATTGAGGAGCAGAGCACGCGGACGATGTGAATCCAGGGGATTCGTGCTGAGCATTAGAAACCCGTATCGTACATGAAACCTGCAGATCCGATGCAGATCGAAGACGCTGAAGAGTAAGGGCAGCTGAAAAAGAAATCAAGTGAGAGAAATACTGTCAACCTTTATAGTCATGTTGTCTGCAACTTCGCACTCAAGTTGACAGAGGTGAAGTGCAGCTGCACAGCTAACTCCTACTATGAATTACAATAATAAACGTAAAGAATGGCTCCTGGGCAACCATCTTTAAAAGCAGGGAAAATTCCATTTGGTTATAATTCAACATATACATTGACTTACTACAGTTGCGTTGTTAGTACAGCTCCCATCGCAATTAAAACACTGGTGGTGGGAGGCCTTGTGGTCGTCAGGCTCAATGTTACACCTATCCTATTAGGGCATTCGGTTACTTGTCACCCAAGTTACAAAACTAAGGTTGACAGTTATCATGAGAGGACAATAGGTCCCGTGACCTAGGGTTTACCCCTTCTATTGTTCGTCACACAATGTGTAATAAAAGTATGGGAAAGAAAATTCTAAAGATACCAAGCAACGGCGAATTGTAACCGGAGATGTCAGTATAAAGGTATAAAAGTCAGTATAAAAGGAAACATTGCACGTTAACTGGAGCTAACATGGATATCGTTAGAAATACTCACAATTCAGCAAATCCTTCTGGCGTTCTAATGCAGCTAACTGGTCCTCCAAAGCTTTAGTGGAGAGCAAGCGAGGAAGATCAGCTTCTGACTGCCACTGTTCCCGTTCACCAGAACACAAAACGCGATCGCAGTGAGCTCTGTTAGGGATACGACCGTGGCTTATCGAGCGTTGTTTCATAACAGATGAAGATGTAGATTGAGAGCGCACCAAATCACCTGAGAGTGAATGAACCTGTTAGAAACAAAAAAGAGCAAGTTTATGGCGTATACACAGATGATGAAAACATCCAGAAAAGTAAAGACCTTTTCACTAACAAATGGCATTCCCCTAAAAGATGCGACTTAACTGTCTATAAGCAAGAGGTCATCAGAGACGGAGAGTAGTTATTTAGTTAGACAGAGTACATTCCAAGAGGATAGTATGTTTATGGGTGTCTCAGTTAGGCACTGCAATGATGAACAAAAACGCCACCTATGTTCGGGTAACTCGTCAGGAAAACATTCAATAGTCTAAAAGACATTAAAGGATACTGGATGGAAAGGATTAATCGGAAAAAAAACTAAACCAATGTGCAAGATCAGAGTAAAAATAACTTTAGAGGGTATATAGGGTATCCGGTAGGAATAGCACCTCTGACTCGGAGAGCTGTCAGCCACTTCGGAGCATCCTTCGTTCTTTGATACCCACTAGGCGCTCAGCTCTCACCTGTGGTTCAAAGAAGCTCTGTCTGTCAGAGGGCCATCGGCAACCTTGCGCTACCTTCCTGAATTCTTGTAGTCAGCATCTAGATGTGCAAATGCTAGAGATGCCATCACGACCAAAAGCCGGGAGACGCTGGTAACATTTACTGCACCTAACCCACAAGACATTTCATGGATGATCACACAAACTGTCGCGCTAATTATGCCACGCTGTTTGCGGGGGGCGACGCACCCTCCGCTCTTCCACTGGCTCGGGTGACAAATTAAGTTTAGTTTTTTTGGATCGTCAAACACATTTTAACGAGGCGGTTATGGTTGCAATCTTTTGGCTGCCCGTATGGGTGAACAGTAAGAGAAACACAAGAAATCTGAAAGTACAGTCGAAAACAGAACGGAGGATTTTAGTGGACTAAGGTTGCAAAGAAGTTGAGATGTACCACAGGAGTTTCGTCAACTCTAGTACTAAGACTGAACCTCCATCCTCAAAAGCCAATGAGAACAGCTCATCTGGGCCGGAGGTCTTTTGAGGTGGCTTAATCCCCGAGAAACCTCCATCTCAGATGCAGGATTGGCATCAACTTGGAGTGTTTACCTAGTCGAAAGGAGGGGTGACAGGTATGATGTCGATGAGGGACAACTGAACTGAGCCTCAAAATGTTCAGCCTATCGATCAAGACGATGTTGTTGATGACGAATCACTGTCATCGGGTTCCCCAATTACCTTACTTATGTCTATTTTGTTGGGCCCGTATTACTAGCCGCATATTTTTCCGTCGCTCTACAGTTCTCTACCCACCACTTCTGCCGGCCATTCCCCATATCCCTGACGAGCTGTGCTTAAGTAAGTTAACGTACTTCTGCGGCATTCTTTTCCAAAGAAGGGAACCCATGGAAGACTCGCGATGAACAGGGTCAATGGCTCTTCTCAGATCAAGGGACACTGCAATCGTTGATCGGCGGTGGGTGTGACGAAGTTCAGGGACCTGACGCAACGTAGCACATGATTCACGTAGAGGCCAGAATCCGGCTTGCTGTTCGTGAATGCTAAACTGTCTTAATGAAGTCAGACGTCGAAGTATGACGGAGGATATAACTTTGGAGAGGATTGAGATCAAACTTATCCCGCGTTGGTTTCCGCAATCGTTGCCAGATCCTTTCTTGAAGATCGGAACGATCAGTGATTCGTCCCAAGATGAAGGAATGCGCTCTTGCGTCCAAGTGTTGTTCCCTAAATTAACAATAGAGATAACGAGTTTATCCCACCTCACCTTGCAACGACTGAGAGGGAACCCATCCAGTCCTGCTGCTTTTTTCGCTTCGGAGCTTGAATGCAAGACCAAACTTCTACATCTGCAGGAGGATTGCACGACACTGCCCACGGAGGTTCAGTTGCAGATAAATTAATCTGGTCAACGCCAGGCCAGCCGAACTGTTCGCTGAAGTATTCCGTCCAGCGATAAAGCTATTGTTCCGTATATAACGGTGGCTTACTGCTATATGGTCGATTCGAGTTAGCAAACTAGTTGAACTGGAATGCCGCGTGGCCGTCCGCCGAGAGCTGTATCGGAAGTTGGTACTGGATAGAAACAGATGATGGTCTGCGCAGCACTGAAGTCGATGGCCGTTATCCGTTCGTTGGCAGGGCAGCGCACAACTACCATCTAGGCAAACTTCTGATGCGCTCAGTTTTCCAACCTGCGCGTTATAGTCACCTGCAAGTACAAGTATGTCGGAGCTTGGACTCATCCAAATGAGATCGGTGAGTTTATCGTAAAAAGCATCCTCTTTGTATCAGAACTGCAATTGATCGGTGCATATGCCAATATGATGAACAAAAACATTTTGGTGTTGTTAACCTCCCGGACGTTGATAGACCCCTGAGGACGAACTGCATATAAACGACTATTGACGAGGATCCAATCGACAAGAAAGGACTGAACCCTGTTACTGAGTACAATATCTACCCCACGCTGACCTACTGAAGGGGCTTCTTCATCGCCTGATGTGTGAAGATAGTACCTCGAGTACGAACGTGGGACGCTCAAGTGGCTTATAGTAGCAGGATCCTGAATTCCAGTCTCCGACACGCAGCAAACATAGATCCCTAAAAGTTCCATTGTACGCACAAAATACGCTTGTTGACCCGGCTGCATCAGCACCCTCACGTTGAAGGGCCCCAGATTCGGTGATTGACGAGGCTTCAGAATCTGCAATTCATGTGGTAAATTACTTAGAGCGCTATTTGGCGACGAACTTTGGCGAGCGAAATCCATGTTGCTTGAGGGGCTACTACAGGTCAGAAGAAGTGGTAAATGGAGAGGGTTGGGTACGGAAGATAAGGAGTTAAACAAAGGTTGGGATATCTGAGCAGTAGCCCACTTATCACTACCCACCCCGCTCGATGCAACGGACAGCGCGATCCTGATTATCCTGCGCGACGAACGATGTAGCACGGAATTACTTTTTTGTATATGCATTGCGGTTTGATGGACGGGTACTTCTAGGGTGTCCAGCTAATAAGCAGGAGAACGATTAGGGTTCGCAACCAAAGACTTTGGTTCTGATAAGAACACAATAGCAAGGCAGTGGGTGGAGAGAAGTGAGGACTCATTCACTTGGATCGATTACTCTTTTGCCATTTTACCGAATGAACCCCAAATTCTAGTCTAATCCCGAACTGGAAGACCGGGAAACCGGACTTCGTCCGACATCTGTTCATTGGTCCTCCAGGCATGATTAGACATTCGGCTTAACAAAACTTATGCTACGTGGCTCGTTGGGTGGGACAAGTGCAAAAAACATTGCACCATGTTCAGGTGCAGCCTCGTAGTGAAGTGTTTCAACGTAATACCGGTAGCGGAAAACTTACCTGTTTTGTAATAAAGAAGTACAGCAGGAATGCAAAGACTGTTAAAATCGCCAAAACTATCACATTGAACTGTTCGTAATTACTCTTGTGTGCGAACTTAGCTTCAGCGCACCAGTCGACAGGCCTCCGAGATCGGCCGGGAGGAAAACAACGAAAACTAAAACGATTATGACGGTCCCAATTCAGCCCGAATGTGCCTTATAACCAAACGGCGAGCCGATCGAATCTATCGAAAGTTGAAAACATGTGAACTCAGCCAGACTGCACAATGGCCAAGCTAGAGACGAGATACAATTGCGCGTCAATGCTGTCAGAAAGGTGTTTCCACAACTGAAGAACTCCCCATAATGGTGGTGGCACAGTGGTTTAGTCGCTTTCACCGACGTGCTTTGTACCCTACGGGTTTCGAGCCCCACCAAGGCAACCCAAATTTGATGGTATATAGATTTGCAATCAATCGGTTCATTACCACGCCTAATCTGATGAGGCCTTATGTGATTCACCACTCCAAGTTCCGGGGCATAGGTTACCGGTTTTCATCACTGAACAGCAAGTCTTCCTGGCTATGGGGTTCGACCCGTCCGCTGCTCATTACACAAATGAGTAAAAATAGAAATGAAGTCAGCCCAAAGACAAAAATACGAGCGCTCTCCGTAACAGTCAGCACTCGTCTTACAGTACGGCTGCAAGACCTGACCATTTCGAGTTGAAGACTGCCAACAATTAGAAATCTTCGATCATTGATGCCTAAGAATCATTCTGGAAGTGCGATGGTGAGATGAACTCTCAAATAAAGCGGTTAGAAACCGATGTTTTATTCTCACATGGCTAAGGACGCTAATACGGTGGCGACTACTACGATGGTTTGGTCACATAATTCGTAATTCTGATAACGACCTGACCGAAACTATCTTGGCACCTTCCCCCCCCCCCCTGGGGCCCNCCCTCCCCCCCCCCCCTGGTGCCCAAATAGGCACTGTCGATAGGTGAAAAACTCGCTAAACACGGTGAGCAAGGATGTAGAAAAGGTTGGTCTCCGCCCCGTCTAAGGTAACCGTCAACAGATGTCAAATTGGATCATTATATGCGAAGATCTTGCCAAAACCACCGAGCGTGGACAGCTGTAATACGGGATATCCATGAAGTTGGTGTATCCTCTTACAGGAGCCAGCTGCGGTAAAGTAAGTAAAAATACTAATAGTGAATGTGTACAAACGGGGAAATCGATTGGAACAGGGCGATAGCCAGGACAGCATTGAGCATACGTACGCATGGTAAAAAAAAATGAAGATTAGCAATCAGTCACTTTGATTCCTCTCTAAATGATTAGAAGTGATACCTTTTGTGGTACCATCGGATTCGTCATATTTCCGAAACGTGTCTGTGTGTCACTTGTGCTGCGAGAAACCTCATGCAGTGGAGTCCGAGTCCACGATGGAAGAGCAGGTGGCAGATGAGCATGAGTTAGCATAGGTGTCTGACCGCGCACTCCGTGTCTGTAAGTCTGAAAGGTTGGCGAAAAGAAATTGAACAGGAGTACACTATTGAAAGCAAAAACTAACGCATTCAAGAAACTATCGAGAGACAATTATGAAAACAACTCTAGAGAAGAATTAGAACAAATCTTAAGTGCCCCAGAGAATGAACTCCCTTGGGAATGCGTTCAAGGGCAAGCAATCTTCATCCTATTAGATGGAAGCAATTACAGTGACGAGAAAACGACAGTGTATTATCGATTATGTAAAGATGTGCCTAAAGTTATCCCGGATACTACAGAGATTTTGTGCTCCGAGTGAAAAAACGATACTTTCTTTGGGAAACATATCAAACATGAATAGGCGAACCGATTCGCGTTGAAATCACCGTGCACTCAATAAGCAATAGACACAGTTTTCGACCTCACTAGAGCTAGTTTGGGATAACGACGGACTCGTCCAGGATCTGAACTTCGGGCCCATCATCACATAGAAGGTGTACGTGTTACCATTGTATCAGCGGGATAAAGGAATGTTCCCTACACTCACCCTTTGTGGCTGGACGTTTTAAATACCTCGAGAGTTTGATCGTAAAAGCTAAAGCTATTTTTGTCAAACTGCGACACCTGTGGTGCCGCTATGACACCTGATTGTCCCTTAAGCGAAGGATGCATATCGCACTGCTTGCGAGACCAGATCATCCCATTTTGACGATGCTAACCGACTACCTGTGCTCAACCACCGATGTCCGTTGGTGAGCAATGAAGTGGTTCACCATCGTGTGTCTGATGAAGACAGTCGTTGTGCAAAGGAAGTGATCGCTCTAAACCACCTCCGGTGACTCAGTTCCTATGCTCTTTGCAAGTGCTGGGCAACGTTGTAAGAAACGCCGTGTTGATCAAACCATGACAGTGTAGCGCTATGAAGAAACTAGCTTCAGCATTTCCTCCGGCTGATGCAACCCGTCTTCCAGATTAGTACCCAAGCGATGGGGGCTGTCGTTGGTTAGAGAAGCAGAGATACAGCTTAGAAAAAAGCTAGTGGCGCGAATGTTGAACGGTCTGCCTGGTGAAATCTTCTGCTAAAAAAAACGATAAACCAGAACAATAACAAAAATTACATGGTGAAACTAACAAAACAATTCCTTCTTGTTCTGTCCATCCCCCATCTGCTTTCCACATATCCCAAACTTCCCATTTTCTGTTATCATTGTTGTTTAGTTGGTACCATGTTCGCTGTCAAGCTAGTGATATATATATATATATATATATATATATAAACAAGGTTTTTGTGAGAAAAATACACTTCTTGCCTACAAATATTTGAATGAACTGACAAAAGATTACGGGATACGCATGCCTGACAAGGGGCAAGAACCGCGAAACCAGTCGTGTGCTTCCGGGGAAATTTCGTCTGGTCAATAATACACCACTAGTTATGAAATATACATTTCATGTGAGTAATGGAGGATTTGGTTAAATTTCAAATGGGAATTCGTCGTGTATATGGCAAATGAAGCGTGAACTGAAAAGCTCGGAAGCACTGGACAGCTGTTTTGATCTGGTTGGGTCTCATCAGCAGTGCGAATGCATCGACCTGACTGGGGATCGAACCCGGGACTTCATGGGCAGAACGCAAGCGTGCTACCTACTACGCCACCAAGCAGCTGATTAGACCGTTTTTTTTAGTTCACGCTTCATTTGCTATATACACGACGAATTCCTATTTGAAATATACATTTATATATATATTGTAAACTGAACGGAATGGAAAAATCAGACTCTAGTTGAATGACGTTAAAACAGCCCACCTTAACACGTGTAGGTTTCTCCGGTGGGGGTATGGTGAATCGACCAACAACCATGGCCTGAAGGGGATAGGCATTGTTAACGCGGAACTGAATGATATGATAAAAACCGGTGCTATTGGAAGACACAGCCCCACTACCAGCAGTTGATGGGATCCACGTGATTTGAAGCAAAGATCGACCTTGATTGGCTCTGACCACAATCCGGTTTGAGGAATCTGAATTGGGATTACAACCGGATACAGTTGTAAACCAGGCTGAGTGCCCTAGCTTGGCAGAGTGCGATTGTATCCAATCTAGACAAAATTCATTAGATGGTAGACCACGTTGAATAGACACCTACAAACGAAATAAGGAAAGACCGATGCATTTCACAGATTAAGCTTCCTTGATTTTTACACGATGGAACAAGTGGAAATGGGCACACGTAAGTAAGCGAAAGTTAAAAAAGCGGTACCGACCGTAGTACTTCTTAAATTCACTGTTAAGACTTCGCTTTATCTCATTCCAAAAAGTTTTATCATTCGCATGTAAATCAACGATACTGTTTTTCGATAACCGGCAGTCCTCAACCAAAAACACATTGTCACACCGTGATCATAGTCAACTTGTCCAATAGGTGTTTTGGTAAACGGATAAAGCCATCCCCAACTCGCTCTTTCTCTCGAAATAGTCCGTATTCACAGCGACTGCAGATGGGTCTCAATCATTGCTTTTCCCTGGTGAGAGTATTCCACGAAAACGACACGGAGAAGCCGACCTTTAAGGGTTACCTTCCGGTCAATGAGACGCCGACAGATAGTTCGCTTACGGAAATAAACCTTGAACTCTAATCTCCCATACAGAGAGGTAAGAACTGAGCCAAGAGCGTCCACCAGATGGTTCGGGTAATGGGGTGTATGGAGCACTCTAAGTGTGATTGTCGTATGACTATACTTACTTTAACATACATACTTATTTGCCAATTATATTTGTGATACTCCCTGTGTTTCTCCTGCACGAATTTTGAAATATGCAGATGATGTCCTGCTGTGCCAACCCATTTCTTCTTACTCTGATCTAAGTTTTTTTACCGATAATCTTGATCAAATTCAGTCGTTCTACTCCTCATCGGGGCTAACCCTGAACCCCAGTAAATGTGTTGAGTGTTTATATAGTTTTGCTAGCTCTCCATATCCAACAGACCCCACAGTGATTAATAACAATCCTTTATCCAGGGTGAACTCTGTCAAATATCTTGGTGTAACCATAGCAATCTTCATTGGTCAACCCACATCCACAACTGCATTGGTAAACTGCGATGCCTTTCATTTCAAATATGAAAGCTCAGGCAGTTTCGTGCATCCCAGTCAGCTATTTCTATTTTTGTTTATCAATGTGTTTTCCCCACCTTAATCTACTGTTCCCCGGTGATTTTTCCTGGTTTACTCAAACAGGACATCAAAGTCTTACGAGTGTCTAACCATTATTAGTCGTGTCTCTTCCATTCCTGTGAATGAATTAGCTGTAAAGCTTTCCGAGTATCACGTAACTTCCTGTGTAAAATTTTCTGAGAGGATTCTCACAGACCTCGACCACCCGCTGCGTGCAGAACTGACAGAATCACATGGCAAAAATCTATTTGCAGTACTTCAACGGACTGACAAATAGGGGTGAATTAATCCAAGAGACAAGAAAACCCGGAAGACGGTTAAATCACACCTGGTTGGAAGATATAATTGAACTAAGTTAGCCTGCGAAGGCGAGTCGGCTGGCAAAACGTGTATTGATCCAATTCAAAAACAACCGGTGCATGCGTTCGATTATATACAATCAATTCTCTAACGCGCGGGAGGATGATTTATGCCGCATCCTGTTGGTTTTGGTCCGCACGTGGCAAGTACGTTTCCTCTTCTTCCGCATGCCGTTCCGACTGGTTTGACCCGATCGTAGTGCGCGATACGTTGATCGACAGCTCCGACGTTGTGGTATTCGGTGGATATCTTTCTGGTTAGATGCTGATTATCCGTCGGGCTGTAATTGTCGATTTGTTCGTTTCGAGTGGTAGTCGACATTGTCTCGCGAAGTACTTCCAGGCGCTACGTCTGCGCACCTGGTTGGATCGGCCCTATTATTGATTCGTTCGCTAGCCGAGACTCTCTTTGTACCACCTTGCATCACACTATCACACTTCTGCCGAATCCTAAAAAAATTTCCGGTAATACTTTATATGCAGGTTAGTCTATTTTTCGCTAACTCACTAAAATTCAGTAAAGAGAGAAAAACCTACATCCAAAACTACAACATTGAAATATCTCACACAGTCTAACTAACTGTTCTCTGTTATTGTTCTTGCTTTGATTGTTTTGAACCAATTGTGAAACTTTGGATTTTGAATCAAAAAGGCAGTACACCAATTTTAGTTGATAAAAAAACAGACAAAACTGTTAAAAAATGAGGACGTGCTACTGAAAACTTTCAATATGAGTTTCGAGAAAAGAAGCTCGCACACGTGTACGGGAGCGCGAAAAAGTTTATCAATACGGCGATCCGGAAAACTAAACATCTCAACCCACATCCTCAGGCAACCTATGTTTATCCGCAAGCTTCTTTACGAAAGACTAGTTTTATTGCTGCATTTAAGAAATAAAACATAACTGTTTTATTATAATGAGAATTTATTCCCTAAAGTACGCATACCGTTTGATCTTCCGAATGCGGGTTCTCCACAAGGAGATAGCGCTTGACCGGTTGACCAGTGACCGATATAGCTCCAAAATCAATCACGGCACGACGGGAAAATACAGTCAGCGTAAGGATATCTGAAGCGGGCACCGTCGTGGGCATCTCGTTTTCGTTCGAACTTAGGGTGACCAGGAGTTCGGGTTCATTGATATCCACTTGTGGCTTTGTAGGTAGAAAAATATTTCATTCATTCAAAAGTTACAGCAAACCTCAAACATTTCGCAAATGAAACATAGAATGCTACAGCAATGTACTGTACTCAACGAATGATCATGAAAATTAAAAGCTAACGGGCACAACAGAGGCGGATGGGCGACATTTTATTTTATAACATATTTTGATGTAATGAATAGCAGATGGAATGAAACCAACGTAGTCGTGCAAACTTTCTATTCAGTGATGGGAAGCAACTATCGAAGCCCCGGAACTTGGAGCGGCGAACCACATAAGGCCTTGCTAAGTTAGGTGTGGTGTTGAACCGCACGACAGCGAAGCTATCTACTACCAAAATCGAATAATGGTTAGGAAACCATGGCCAGTGCATACCCCTTCAGAAATATTTACCACCTAATACCAAGATATATCATTACAGCTGGCGTTAGGGTATGAAAAAATAGCTTCAGTGTTGGCTTTGGTGTAGACTGCTTTCTACATTAGGATTTGGATGAGGATTTGCTTTGGTTACAGTCTCTCAGAGATGACTCGAAATGGAATTCCAACACACGAAAGCGTGTTCCATAAAAGAAAAACGATAAAAATAGACAAAAAATATCGAAACTGTAGGGTGAAACACAAAATATTTACCTTATAGTTACTTGTGACTATGGTGTAATATAACCGATATTGGTTTGATAGGACTGGAAGGAAATCAAATTTAGAGCTTACCCGAATGTATGGTTGACTGGA